AGCACATGCTCATGGTCTACATGCGGCAGGTGCCCCGGGGCACACCTCCGAGACCTCATGCTCTCCCCCCCCCCCCCCGCCGCCCCTTGGCCGCCTCCAACAACGCTGCACTCCTGTCCATGCTAGCTACCATCGAGAGAGGGTGCACGAGCCCCGACGCCAGCTTTCCTGTCCTCCTGTCCTTGCTTCAGGTGCTGGCGGGGCTCGAGTGGCTTCACGCACAGGGCATCTGCCACCGAGACATCAAGGGCGCCAACCTCCTGATCACGCAGGACGGGCAGGTGCGTGCTCGCCCGCGAGTCCTCCTGTCAGTTCAGAGACGATCAGCCTTCGCCCTCGCCGCAAGCCTCGCCCTCGCCGCCGCCGCCCGACACGCGCCCTCGCCGCCGCCGCTGCCGCAGCCCTCCTCCCCGCCCCCGCGGACGCCGCCCGCTGCCTCGCCCTCGCCGCCGCGACCGTGTTTGCCTCCCGCCGATTGACTCGTATCTTGTTGATGGATCCGCTCTCAGGTGAAGCTCGCTGACTTTGGGGTCGCCAGCCGCGTCGTCGACGCGGCGGAGCAGGCGAGGGCGAGACGAGGGTAGTGTAGACTTAGCGGCCGCTGGTCGCTTGGGCGGGAGGGGGGGGGGGGGGGGGGATCTTAGAATTCGGAGGTTATTGCTTACACGACTGCTCTGCAGGCGGGGGCACCCATCGATGGGCGAGGAGAGGGGCCCGTCGGCACGCCCTACTGGATGGCGCCTGAGATCATCCAGATGGACCCCTTCACGACGGCGTCCGACATCTGGTCGCTCGGCTGCACGGTCCTCGAGCTGCTGACGGGCGAGATCTAGCCGAGAGATGTAGCCGCGGACAGCCAAGATGTGGCCGGGATATGGTTGCACGGTCCTTGAGCTGGTTGAGGAGTTGGTTGCTCGCTGGCTGATTGATTAGGCGAGCCGCCCTACTTCGAGCTGCGGCCGGTCAACGCCCTCTACCGCATCGTGCACAACACCGACCCGCCCATCCCCGAGACGGCAGACATAGCCGAGATACAGCCGAGATACAGCCGAGAGATGGCCCTCTCGCCCGTCCCCGAGACGGTCCACAGCGGCTGCTCAACGACGGTCTGCTCAAGGAATGAATGAGTCAACCGGTGGGGTGAGACGCGCAGGTCCGCACCGGCTCCCCGCTGCTCAACGACTTTCTGCTCCGCTGCTTCGACCGCGACCCGAAGACGCGCGCCTCGGCCAGTGCGCTGCGGCAGCAATGTGGCCGGCGGGCAGGTGTGCGGGAGGAGTCGCCGTTCACAGTGCGCGGCTGTGAACAGGCAGCACGAGTGGCTCCAGCAGGAGGTGTCGCCGTCGCACATCACCATGCCCCAAACCTTGCCGGCCGACTCGCGCGCGCTTTCTACCTCTTGATCGGCAGCTTTCTTCTTCTAGGTACACTACACGATCGAGGGATTCACAGCGGGCGCCAGCTTTCCTCCTCTGGAGTCGCAGCTCTGTCAGTAGGCCCCCGCCCATGCCGGCCGTCGGGCGCCGAGAGAGCGGCGCTGCCGCCTTCGCATGGCCGGCAGTGAGACACAGGAACCATTCAGGAACCTTCTTGGAGCCTTCCCCTCAGGAGCCGCAGCCTTCGCACGGCCGGTCGTCCGCGAGTTGGTAGAGAGGCCGCGCTCGGTGACGCGCTCGAACACGGGCGAGAGGAGCCCGCAGCCGAGCGTCGGCCCGGGCGGATAGATGCGGGATTTGGGCTCCCTGTCTTCCGACTGGTACTTTGAGGCGGGACACGCATATGTTCGGCTGCATTCTCCGCACGGTGCCGTACTCACTCCCTGATGTTGGTTGCTCACACACCGTAGGGTCGGGCGCCGCGTCGCACAGCGGCACGGCCGTGAGCAACCTCTCTCGCAGGACGCCGAAGGAGCTGGCGCAGGAGCTGCTCAACGCCGCGAGCAGCGGCGGTAGCAGGAGCAGTAAGAGTGGTGTCAGCGCCGCGAGCCCGAGCAGCGGCGGTAGCAGGAGCAGTAAGAGTGGCGCGACGCACGGCGCGGGAGGGGGAGGAGGAGGAGAGAGCAGCGGCAGCGGCGGGGGCTGTGGCGGCGGATGCTCCGCCGCGTCGACCTGCTCGGCCGGCGTGGCGGAGCGCGTGTCTGCGGCACACGGCCTCTCGCCACGGCGCGACTCTTCACGGCTTCTTGTTGACTCCGATTCTCCTTCCGCCAGGCGTTCGACAGCCTCTCGTCGCTCGGCAGCCTCTCGCCGCGCTTCCCGCAGTTCTCGCAGCGCCTGGAGCCGATCGAGTCTTCGCCGCACTCGACAGGCTCCCCCCTCCCCCGACGGCACACCTCTGTTGCCACAGCCTTCCTTCGGACG